TCTTTAGAGAGTAAGTAAAATACAAGCAGCAGCAGAGCTCTTTAATTAAATGAGACCTGTTCCCGAAATAGAATGTCTTGATACATTCACAAGATGATAGAGAAGTGAATAATGTTTGATGGATGTATGACGGCAACAGAGAACAGAACAGATTAAAAGTTTGACGGCATTACGACGGTTGGCTGTTGGAGATTGTAGCAAAAATGAGGTTGTGTGATGTATTAGGGTTAGGGTTAGGTGCTAATTTATAATAATCTAATTCGAGTTAGCTGAGGGGTAACAGAAATAATTGATAGTCTTGATTGAACTTTAGCTTAGCTTAATTTCTTATGAGAACGGGTCTCTTATTACTCACGTTTCATAGCCATTGGAATTGATTAATTTCTACCTGACGCCATTGTTGTTATTCTTTGTGGCACGTCGAAGACCTTTTTAAATCCCCCTGGATCCTCCATGATCATATTGACATTACCTTCTATGTCATTTGGATTGTCTGTGTTGTAATATCATTAAGTTGATTAGCCCTGAGCCTGTTTTTCAGGTCTCAGGCTCGAAAATGACATTCCCAGAACAAATGACCATATCTTCACTTCTAAAAGGGGTAAATTAATAATATTTTTTCTCAAAGCAAGGTTAAACCTGTGAGTTGGATATAGAAAAGTCTGAATCAATATAGATTTTAAAGTAAATTCAGATTGAACATGGTAAAAACATGTAAATTAGAGTGTCCGTCCAAAGAAAGAGAAATCTTACTTAAAGTGAAAACTACCCTTGAATGATGGGATAGTAGACTAAAAGCTTTAGGAATCCAAACTATACTATATAATAAGTACCCTGTATCAAGATTGAGGCAAAACAAGTGAAATTTGACCTTTTTAGAGAGATTTAGAAAAAAAAACCCACTTCTGGGGTCATTTGGGTGGATTTTCCGTATCTCTGGCCCCCCTCGTTCGATTTTGATGATTGACGTCTCTTTTTAACCGGTAGAGCCAATAGAATTGAGGGGAAGTTCCTAAAAATCCATTTAAACATTACCCATTGGTGAATGAGTGAAGGGTAGCCAGAATGCCTCGGAACCGGAAGCTGCGATGCACTCTGGTGGCTACTTAGCAGCTAATTGAAAATCTCAGATTTTTACATAAAAATGTAATTATGGATTATCAATAAATTGATCAAAGGGACAGACACATTGGATTAAGCTTCAGCAGCATTTTTTTTTATCGTTTTAATGCCATTGAACACGACTTTTGATCAGAAGAACAGCTGGTGAGACGATCTCCCGTGTTTGCTCCGTAATGCTACGTGTTGTGATGTCTGTGTTTGCTTCCCCTGTCGCGAGTTCTGATCGTTCAGTGATGATACTAATACCTATATAATCTGTGGAATCTCAGCTTTAATCGGATATCTTGTATGTGCAGTTACGATAAGTAATAAGGGTATTTTTACCTTGAGTTCTTTGCCAAGTGGCATTCTTTCGCTCAGGGCTCATTTAGACGCTTGTTATGAACTTGTTTTGGTAAAAATGGTTCATATTGTCAGTTAGCTGAGTTTCATCCCGTTAACCTGGTATGACACATTAATAGGTTTGTAAATATTAAGAAGCCCTGAGACACAGTTTTGTGAGAAAAAAACTCGCAGCCCCCTCTACCGGGGGCTCTCGGGCCGAACGTCGTTTTATTCTTTAACTTGATGACCTATTTTTGCACGTCTGTCGGTCCTTCCTCTGATGTTCTTCCTCAAGTTTCTTTCAGTTGATTGATTATGGGGATTATTTGTGTGTGTTGTACTGTAAGGGTCTAATGACAGATGATGCTGTCTTTAAAGCTGTGAAACACATGGTTATCTTGCTATGTATACACACATGTAATCTATATGTCAATTTAATTTCTGCCATAGTGTTTAAAATACATTATTAAGCAGTCCAGCTTGCTTCTTTAAAAAAGGACACACGTTTAAAGGATGACATCTTTATTGAGGTGGAAGACTTTTCAAGGACAAAAAGAAAAGATCAGAATCATGACATTTAGTTTGCAGTGATTGAAAGTTCTACAAACCATAACAGTGTTTGGATCTTAATGATGTAAAGGAGGGATTGGGCATTTATTCTGAATGCTCAGACTTTCTTAGAACCCTGGCCGTTCATGTCTTGGAAGAATTCATTGCAGGTCACAGTCAGCTCAAAAACCAGAACGACAAACTCCTGGAAGCTGATTTCCCCGTCCTTGTCTTCATCCAGCCCGCTCATAATGTGCTCCAGCACCTGGGGGTCCTTGCAGCTCTGAAACAGAAACAGCATAAAGAAAATAAAACCGGGAAGAATCTATTTTTTCCACTCAAGATCAATTGTTGATGGCAAATGTACTTGAAAGCCTTAGAAACCATGGGGTGTTAAGATAACCAGACACTATAGCACTGCCCAGATCTGCTATTGTTCACTAACAGACCGTTGCTTAGGGTCCATACCACATGTGTCAAACTCAAGGCCCGGGGGCCAAATCAGGCCTGTGGTGGATTTAATGTCTGCCCGCAGGATAATGTCTAATTACTATTAGATCTGGCCCTCCGGTATATTGCACGCACACCTTCACTCCATCCTGAGGATCTCCTCAGCTCAGAGCCTGACCCCAAACATTGATGAACTTGCACCCAAGATGAGATGCCAAGTATCTGAACTAGCATCACAGAGCAGCACA